GGCATCAACAGGGTCAGGAACCCAGTCCTCTGGATCTGCGATGTCATCATCGCTCTCCTGACCGTTCTCTAGGGTCACTGGGTCAGCTTTTGAGAGCTCATTTGCAAGATCACCAGAGCCCTCCGCATCCCCCGTGAGACCAGCCACGATTTGCCGCACGGTGTCTTCCCGAGTCCTGTCAAAAGGCAAGGTCAGCAGAGCAAGGCAAGTGAAGGGGAGAGGAAAGGGATGGAAAGAGACTGTCCTGCAAGCCTCTTACCTCAGATACTTCCTGATGGGCTCACAGGCGACCTCCAGGATGACCATGGAGGGATCAAGCTCCCGCAAGGCCTTGATGGCCGAGATATAGAGGGTAATGATGTCAGACGTGTTGACTCCTACAACAGAGGGGCAGAGGTGTCAGAGTCCCTGAGCACACACTCACAGCGTGAATGCAGGAACAGAGCAGTTCGCTGCTCTGTTAGATCTAAGGGGCTGAAGACAAAGGCTTTACAGTCATACCGCCCTAGGCAGAGGCAGATATTACATTTGATTGAGAAACAAACTGCAACCACAAACACAGGCTCAAAGACTACCATAAACCAGCTCGGCCCAGACTGAGCATCAGCAGCTTAGATCTCACACCACAGAAGAATCTTTACCCACCTGAACCAAAGCTAAACTCTAGCTCAGTTCCTCACTGTACTGCAGAAAGGAGGTAATACAGGGCTGGGATATAATTAGCTACTACTGCCCATGCACATTTCAACATGACAGCATGAGATGCACAGAACCCAACTGTCTTCACTGCACGAGAAATAAGGTGTGGGTTGCCAGCAGATCCTCACTCAGGCCTAGGCTCCTTAAGCCCAGTCATGTGTGAAATACACAGAGATGTAAAACCCACCAGGATGCAGAAGTCGCATTTCCAGAGCACTTTTTAGGGAGCTGAGCAGCTGCTGCCTCTGATTAGTCCTCTCCAGGCAGAACTTGAGGTCCTCCACTGCAGGTTTTGATTCTGGAAAATCTACAGACCAAGCAGGGATTAGAAACAGCGCCAAGCTCCACGAGGAGGCAAGAGGAGACAAAGGGGCACAATGGTAGGTGGAGACAGATCTACAGTTCAAGCCAAGAGCGAATAAACACAGAAGGGGTCCCTCCTACCCCGAATAATGCTGAAAAGCTCTTCAATGCGCATGCTGGCGTAGATGCGGTAGAAGAATCTTTGGACATGGCACCTCCAGCGCTTCAGGGTGCTGTTAGCCTCTGGAGTGCAGCGAGCCGAGGGACTGTCTTGCAAGAAAACTCTGCTGAGCCAGCCAATCACCTTCTCGATCCACTACAGGAGGAGAGAAACAAAACGGGGACGGTGAACGCTCCACCCGGAGGCACAACCATGTCCCAACGTACCCATCCGCAGGCAGCAATTACAGCAAGCTGAAAGGAGCCCCAGCCAAGAGTCCCACCTCCAGCTGGGATCCAAGTGTTCCCAGGTCCGCCCTACAGCCAGGAAAAAGCCTCAGAGGAGAAGTTAAGACACTAAGTTAGAACTAGAGAACACCTGGACCTTTACCTGAATAGGCAGAGGTGTATGATAAAATAAAGGGTGACTGAGAACGGCATTTCTCCATCTTTTGAAATGCACCCACAGCTTTGGTGTCACTTTTTCTGTAACAACATTCGCATCTAGAGACAAGTGGAATGCATGTGCTCCAGTGCCCTTAATACGTCTTCAAACAATCTACAGGTCATCTGAAAGCACTCTGAAAGTCCAATAAATGAAAGGCTTCCACAGTTTTAAGGGGAATTAAATAGAGAAATCACTGCTGTTTGCAGACAAGTCGTAAAATGTCAACACATTTAAACAACAGGGAAACTAGGACAACCATCCGGAGCCGTGTGGTTTGCTCAGTAACCAGGCGGCGTGTGCTGCTGTTCAGAATAGGCCAGCCCAAGGTTATGCACCAAAAAACAAGGAATGCAGAGCAAGCTGGCACAACGGAGACTGTATCCTGGAAAAGCAATAACCCTGAGAAGTTGTTTAAGGTCACGCTGGGTAAATAACTCAACATGAACTTAGTGTTAGCTGGCAGCAAAGAACCAAGTGCTGGGTAGATGCAAGGCAGGATTCTGATTCTGCATGCACCCTGCTGGCCAGAGCAGTACCAGAACATCACCTCATATCCCCACTTGCTATTCTAAAGGCACGCTGAAAAACTGGAAATAGAACAGGCAACAGCAACACAAATTCAAATTACACGTTCACCTACACAGAAGGAGGGCCCTCTATAGGCTAGTTGGGACTATTGCATTCATGCAGTTTAAAACCCAAGAGAAATTCCTCCAGTAATACGGATATAAGCAGGGGAAACATAATGGCTTATTACTTACAGGTCAAGGAAAACATTCTGATTTAATGCTAAAGGAGAAGACTAGTTTTAACCATGTCTTCTGCCAGTAATGGTGGAAGCCACTGTCCAGACACAGGCATTTTGAGCAGAATTTACTTTCAACTAGAGCCGCTGCTTCTCTTGCCACACATTTCCAAGGGAAGAGCTCTTGCTCCCCGCACCCCTTACCTCCTGGAACTCATTTAGGAAAGAGCGCTCATATTCGCCCCTGCATCTTTGCTCCATCCTCTCCTCTATCATCCTGTGCAAGATGGTCGTGACGGCCTCGGCGCTCACTCTCTCCAGCAAGTTCAGCCGGCGGCTACAGACACACACAGAAGCAAAAGTATAATCAAAAAAAGAAGATACCATCCTAACTAGTATGATACTCCTGTATCATGGTTTACCATGTGTATGGCAAACAGATACAAGCAAGGCTCTTTGAATGCTCTAGCTGCCTGCATAGGAGCACTGTGCTACTGCTATCCCACCTCCCTCGGAAATTGGAACTTTCTAGCCATCAAAAGCTTTTTCACTTATTCTAAGGCTCCTTCTTTTTGCAGACAGAAGACAAGAGGAAGCTATTCCTCAGTGCAAAAGCAAGTTCTCCTTGCATCCAGTAAAAGGAATTTTCTGTCAAAGGATCAGTTCCTTCTGCTGGATGCGAGAATATCAACTGCCATTTATTAGTTCTGCACAAATACTCTGTGGGAAAGTCATCACCCTTTCGGACGATACAGCCTGACCTCGCGCACAGCTCCTGTGCCTTTGGGACACAAAGAAAACATGCTGTTGCTCCCCTGTCTGGAGCACGATCACCCGTAGCCTACGCACAGGATGTCGTTGAGCTGCTGGAACTGCTCCATGGCTTTGGGGCACCAGCACTCCTCTCTCTTGCTGCTGCAGCCGGCGCACAAGGGGCTCTCTCCTCCACCCTCTTCTGTATCACTTTCTTGCTCGTTTTCGCTCATGCTGCTCTCACACTCGTTCATTACGTCCTCTCCCTTCTTCCACTGCCGCATGTATATCCTGAAAGTGCGGCTATAGAACTGCTGGATCATTTGCTGGAAGGACTGTGTTGTGGAGAAGAAAAGAATGGCTTTGAACATGGTGTAGACCTTCTCTTGCAGCATTTGAGCGCCTGTGCCCAGGAGCAGGCCTGCTTTGGTCCATCTCTCCAGAAGTTCCAGGCTGTTCAGGTAGGGGTCCAGGCGGCGCTTGAGAAGACAAAACGCATCCAGAAGAAGCAAGGAGCACTGCTGCTCCTCGGCTGTATTTTCATATTGCTGAATGCAGTTCCAAAACTCGGGGCCTATGTTTGCCTGCAGGTCTGTCTGCAGCACTTCCATGAACCATTCTTCCACGATGGTGTGCAGGTCATAGCTACGCAGCACCTCAAGTGCTGCCCGTAGGTCGCCGTCCTTCAGCTGCCCCACAGGATCAGATCTGGACACGGCCTAGAAATAACAAGTTAAACACACATAAGGACTCGTCAAAGAGCAGTTGGGGCAGGAGACGCTGCGCGGACACCAAGGAGCAAGCACAGACACCAAGGAGCAAGCACAGACGGTCTCTGATGTTAAACTGCAACCAGTAGATACTGCTTCTCTGTGGTGACCTGCAGGACACTCGACCCACTGATGAAAGCAAGCGGCCATCTCACAGGTGCCAAGCCAGCAACGCCATCCCCGCCAGTACCTGCCACCGCAACACGAGCTGCTTGGGTCGGGCCATGCTGGCAGGAAAAGGCCCTGCTGTGTTGATGGCAGCGCCATGTGCCACCGCAGGCCGTGCTCGCTGAGAGACGGGGGACTCCGGGGCCAAACAGTCCCCTTCTCCACGAGGAGCGCGCCGGGAGCAGAGCCTCAGTGGGGACGGAGGAGCAGCACGTCCACCCCGCTCCTCCTGCTGGGGGGGCCCCCCAGCACCACGGACGCCGGCCCGGACAGCGGGCAGGAGGCCATGGGACAAACACGAGCCACCCTGCAGGCAAATCCCACCCGTGTCGTCCCCTTGGGCGGTTCCAGGCGTTTCCCTGGCCAGCAGCAGCAGCCCACGCAGCTTCACCGGCCGCCGGTCCCCGCTGATCCATACCCAGGACGGGCGGGCACAGGAGGGAGAGTGACGGGGACCTGCCTGCTCCCACCACAGCTCCCTGAACTGGGGCTGCAGGGACCCCTGGATCCCTCGCGCCGCTGAACTGGGGCCGCGGGGTCCTGGGGCGCTGCTCGCCGCGGCCCGTCCCGGCCGGCACGGCCCATCCCTGCCGGTCCCCTCGGCATCCTGCACCGCACAGCGCCATCCCAGGGCGAGCGGGGCCCCGGCGCGTCCTCGCGGCGGGAGCCAGAGCCCCGGCCCGCCCCGCCGGGCTCCCCGGGCCGCGCGGGCAGGCGGCCCCTCGGCGGCGGCACTGCGGGCAGGGCGCGCGCGGAGCGGCCGCACTCACCAGCCCCAGCGCGGCGGGCGGCACCAGCGCCGTGCTGAGCGCGTGCCAGGCGGCCGAGAGCCCCGCGCCCGCCGGCGGCTCCATGGGCCGCGCGGCAGGAAGGGGCGGAGCGGGGCGGAGCGGAGCGGAGCGGAGCAGAGCGGGCGGTGGCGCCGTTGGGGGCGGCCGGGCGGGCGGCCATGAGCCGGCCGGAGGCCGCGCTCGAGGGGCTCGTGAAGGAGCTGGGCGCTGGTGAGCGGGGCCGGGCGGCGGCGGCGGGGGGCCGGGCCGGGCCGGGCCGGGCCGGGCCGGGCCGCGCTGAGCGCCCGCCGCCGCCGCAGGGATGGAGGAGCTGCGCGGGCGGCGCGACGAGCTGGCGCGGCTCATCCAGGGCGAGGAGGAGGAGCGCGGGCGGCTGCAGGGCCAGATCTGGGCGCTCACCGAGCGGCTGGCGCGCGCCAACGAGAGCCTGGCCCGCAAGGTGGCCGCGCGCAACGACTTCGACCGCACCATCGCCGAGACCGAGGCGGCCTACGGCAAGGTAGGGCCGCCCGGCTGCCCTCCTGTCCCCGCGCAACCCACCTCGCTCGGGTAACACCGACCCCGTGACACGGGCGGCCTCGGGGGTGCTCTGGGGCTGTGAGTTGGTAACCATGAGCAGTTCTGGCTCAAGGTGATCCTTTCCGCCCTTGCTCACTGCCCAAATCCTTCTTTACACCAAGGACGAGGGCAGGGTCCTGTCCACGGGCAGGAACAACCCCAGGCACCGGCACAGGTAAGCGGTGACCTGCTGGAGAGCAGCTCTGCAGAGAGGGACCCGGGAGTCCTGGTTGACACCAAGTTAACCATGAGGCAGCAGAGCCCTCGTGGCCAAGGAGGCCAATGGGCTCCTGGCTGCATTGGGAGGACGTTGCCAGCAGGTCAAGGGAGAGGATCCTGCCCCTCTGCTCAGCTCTGGGGAGGCCAAACCTGGAGCATTGGGGGCAGCTCTGGGCTCCCCAGGGCAAGAGGGATGTGGAGCTGCTAGAGAGGGTCTAGCGGAGGCCAACAAAGATGTTAATGGGACTGGAGCATCGCTCTCATGAGGAAAGACTGAGTGAGCTGGGCATGTTCAGCCTGGAGAAGACTGAGAGGGGACCTGATCAATATGTACAAATACGTGAGGGGTGAATGTAGGGAGGAGAGAGGCAAACTCTTCTCAGTGGTGGCCAATGACAGGACAAGGGGCAGTGGGGACAAACTGAAACCCAGGCAGTTCCACCTCCATGTGAGGAAGAACTTCACTGTGGAGGTGCCTGAGCGCTGGCACAGGCTGCCCAGGGAGGCTGTGGAGGCTCCTTCTCTGAAGATCTTCCAAACCTGCCCGGATGCAACCGGGTGCCCCGTGCTCTGGCTGTCCCTGCTGGAGCAGGGTGAGAGGGTTGACTAGCTGAGCTCTAGGGGTCCCATCCAACCTCAACCATTCCGAGATTCTTTTCCGATTTGTTTTTCAAACTCTGTGTGTGAGTTGTTGTCCCTACAAGTAACTACTGCAAGCACCACATGTGCATTTTTCCAAAGTCCAGGCAGCCTTTCCAGCGATGATCATTGTTTAGATAAAGCTGGAGCTGCTTCCTTTGCCAGCTTCAATAAATGATGGTTTGAGATGAAAGACAGCAAATTCCCATTAAAAAAAAAAGAAAAAAAAAAAAGCTTACCATTTCTGTCATACACTTACATGAATAACAGCGTGTATTTTTAAAGAACACTTCCCTGAGATACAAGTCACACCCTCCTATCCTACAAGTGAATTTATGTTTATTGAAATTAAAAGACAAAGTCACAGTAGATTTAAAAAAAAAAGAAAACCCAAGGTGGTTAGGAGAGGAAGTGAAAATGTCCTGTGAACGGAAACAAGTAACAAAGTTCCTTCCCTCTGGACTTAGATCTCTTCTCTGTCACCACTTTTCGGGCCTTTCCCCATGCTCCAGGACTCCGTTCCCCTCAGCATGGCCTTCTCCCACGGACAAGCTGGCACCGACTGCCTTGCAGGGCCACCACGGAGTCCTCCCGTGCCTGCGCCTGCGGGGCTTGGCTTCAGCTCTCCTCCCTGACCACTTAGAGATTCCACAAGGTCGTAGGAATATAAATTAATGATCTTTGAGACCGCAGCAACCACCAGGTTTGTTAGAGTTGTCCACCACATTAAAACCAGAAAACAGGGAGATGGAGAAGCAGCAAAATCTTCAGAGCTATTTTAGCTGTATTTGTAGCAAAAGGGAGTGTTAGATTACATATAACATAAGCTACAAATAGAAGAAATTAAACAAAAGAAGAAACATTTAGTCTGACTTTAGGTCATTATGGAGTGGAGTTACTCTTGCAGCAAGAGCCCTGAAATATGTGAAAGAAATCTGGAGTCAGATCAGCTGAGGATAATACAAATATGATCTAAAGACTATCAAAATCTCTTAAATAAAATAATAATAAAAAAAGACGATGACAACAATAACAAACCCTAAAGTTCAATCCAGACTCTGCCTCATGTTCCAAGAGACTTAAAATGTCTATGGTATTTAGTATTCTGAATATGGGCTTGAATCAGAGAAATTCTTTCACCAATATTCTTGCATTGAGATAGGATGACGTGCCATGAAGAATTAAATATTCCAAGTGCTGGAGAATCCCTCATGCTCCAAGGTAGATGAATTGCTTTCAAAGAGAACTCACAAGAGAAATGCCTTGGTTATGTAAAAATTAGCTCTTTTCTTCTTTCCCAGATTCTGGAGAGTTCTCAGACATTGCTAAGTGTCCTGAAGGGAGAAACGGGGAATAGCAGTAAAGCCACTGAGCCGAAAAGCACTTCAAAAGAGAAACAAGCAGATGGTCAAAAGCATTCCTAAACTTTCTCTTCAACCTGGAAAGACCTGTTGGCCTGGGCAGCTGCTGTTCTAGTGCAAAGGTGCCACACTTAATAAAAGGTTTTGTCTTGCAGAAACACATTTTGCTTTCAGCTGCTCTTTGCCACTAACAGATCTGCTAAAGCTCATCCTCTAGACTAAGGTGCTAGATCCCAGGATAGGCGTCCTGCAAAGTGTGGAGCGCAGTGCTGCTGAAGCAGATCCAGGGAGGGGGCTTAGCAGTGAATGTCTTACCCCAGGGCAGCGTTCAGCTCGCCTTGCCAAGAACCAGCCTTGCCAAGGACCAGCTGAGCGTTCAGCTGCTGCCCACAGGGCCTAGAGCCCAGAGCTGGGACGGGTGAAGGCAGCACTCAGCGAGGTGCAGATCCCGGCTGCGAGGGAGGGCACGGAAACCAGGAGCACCCCAAGGACCATGTGCTCACTTGGGAAGCGCGCTCTGTACTTCGGAGTATCTACTGAGCTGGTCCTGACCAGGGAGGCTGCAGGCACAGAGCGATTTCTCTGAGCAGCAGCACCCTGAGCAGGAAAGCAGCAGTTCTGTTGGCTGAGGTGAGGGCAACAACCTGCGTGGGGGGGTTGCATTGAGCTACAGCAGAGCCAAGTCGGGGACAGTTGGACGGTTCCTCCCTGACTTCTGTACTTGCAGGTTTTGCTTCATCACCTCCAATTTTGTTACACTGCAGCTGCAGAGGTGGAGGTGTCTTAAACAGCCTGGAACTTTTCTGTAATACAAGAGGTTTGTATTTACTAGAAGGGCTGTGCACAACCTTTACACTGACCTGCTCGGCTCCGCGTACAGCTGCTGGCTCTGGGCAGTGTTGAACACCACATATTTGATACCTTGCTCTACCCTTAAACATGGAAAGTCACTTGTCCTGCATTCTTCCTTGTTCTCCAGTCTCAGCTTCTTGTTCCTAAAGTATTTCATTGTGGGAGAGGATTTAGCACCAGGGACTCGCTGCCATGCTCTTTATACTGCAGTTCTGCAACTTTACCCAGAGACTGTCGGTCTCACGCTCCTCCTGGGAGGTCACTCATCTCTGCTTAGCTTGAAAAGGACAAGTCTTAGCAAGTGCAGGAGGTGAATAAAACGTGTGTGTGTGTGTGTGTGTCCATTCATGTGTCTATCCCCCAGTAACATCTAAGAACTGTTCAGTCACTTTTTTTTGGATAAGTTTTTCAGACATATTTGTGCACTAGGGCAGGTGAAGGGGAGAAGAGCTAAGGCCAGACATGTCCTAACATGTAGCCCTGCCTGCATGTTCCAGCAGAAAAAAAACCAAGAGTTCCTCCTGCTTCTACCACACGCACCAGAACAAGCGTAAGCAGAGCACTTCCCAGTCACAGACCAGCAGCAGCTTGCCTAGACATTCCTTGTCTCTATATAATAGACAAACCAATAAAAGTGTCAAATGTAATCAAAGATACCAGCCTGGTTCTTTGGATAGAGCCACACAGTTGGGTACCACTAACGTCAGGAAGCCCAAAGAGGCCATATCTATTCCAACCGCATCTCTTTTAATCCCAGAAATACAAATCACATCAGCAGCAGCGTTCAGTCTTTTCCAGAGTGCAATTTTGACCCTGAGTTTACAGTAGTAGAACACTTGAGTGGAAGAATCTAGCAAATTCCTTTGCATATTGGCTGCATTAAACAATTACAATAGAACTATAAAAAAAATCTAGAAAACAGCATATTCCTTGTTCAAGTTCTGCAAAAGAAAGGAGTGAGATGGCCCTCCTGTGCCTTCCACGAGAGGACCAAAAAGAGCTTGGCATGAAGCAAGTCTCCCCAGCAACCAGGACAGCTCTACCTTGGCCCTGGTCCCGTTAGTGCTAGAACAAAGCAACAAGAGCGACTAGGAAACTGAGCACAAAGGGCAGTTACTGGAGACTGGATGCCAGGGTTGGGCAGGGACAAATCAAAGCTATGGCCAGGGGAATGTTCAAGAGCCTCAGCCCAGACTGGATGCTTCTTTACGGATTAGTGCAAAAATGATACCTCAAGCTCAAGGCATTTATTCCCCTTCCCACAGAGTGCATTCAGTTCCTTTCACGCAAACTTAACTGGCACATAAATTCCGTGTTTGTTCAGTGAAACTTGAAGCAGAAACACTCCGAGAAGGAACTAACCTTCAGTGGTTTTATAACCTGACAACCGCTGTAACCTGGCTGTCAAATCACAACCGCTTCTGTGAATCCAGCTAGCTGCCCAGAACTCCCGTGCTCGAGCCCCAGGACCCTACTTCCCTGTGGCCTCTGCTCCAAGAAGGGTTTCAGAGCCCTCGCAGAGCCCGTACGGGGCCTGCACAAGCGGACCCAGGCCCTGATAGAGTCTACGTCCATCCTGGGCTTACAGATCTGTTCTTCAAATGCTTGTCTGCTCAGCAGCTGATCTTGAACAAGGAATACGCAAGGCCACAGGCAGAATATAAATCATACGCCTTAAAAACAGTAGTTAGGTCCCCGAATCCAGTGCAAATATTCTCCCGAGATGCTGCACGGCATCTAGTGCACCCTTGGCACCAGGATCCTACGCGTCGGTGTGCGGGCAAGGCCCCGGAGGCTGGTGTGGGTGCGCGGGAAGGTGCACTGCCCGCCTCCGCCCAGCAGCGGCTGCTGCAGCCCCGCAGATGCGGCCCTCAGAAGTAGAGCGCAGGCTCGCTGCTGAAGTCCGAGAGTCCTCCCTTCTCTGCTGGCGTGAGCTGCGGACAAAGCAGAGGTGAAACAGGTGGCATCAAACGGATGGCACGCGGAGGTGCGTGCGCTTTGAAGACTGACCTGGCACCCTGCTCAGGGCCAATGACTGCATTTAGCTCCAAAGGTGCCCTGGGGCACCACGCACGCTGCTTTCCTTAAGTTTCCCCTACACACGCAGGGAGATGAAGGGCTGCTGGGGCAGGGGAACTTCTTGTTGATCCTTTAGTGTTTTTGGTGCCACTGCTCACCAAAACACAGGAGCTCAGCGTAAATCACTTCCCATTTCATCCACTGGCCAGACTAACCCCAGAGCCACATGAGGGTACAAGAGGACAAAGCCAAGAACTGCTTTGAAGTCTCACCATGACTTGGTTTCCAACGGAATCAGCTTCTTTTTGGAGGAGTCCCTTTGCGTTGGGCACATCCTCATACTTGTGCTCCTGCCAGTCGCTGAACTTCACGGAGTGCTTTGGGGTGTAGCTGGATAAATCTGCTGGAAGGACACAGCTCACGTGAGTATTCCCTACCGCTCCAAAAGGAGGAAAGGCCACGGTCCTGGTAGGGATGGGACGGGAGGGCAGGGAAGGGGCAACCCACGGTGCCAGCAGACGTCATGACAGCACCAACGCTCGCGGTTAGTCAGCCGAGCGCACAGTGCAAAGTGTATTTTTAGCTTTTGAACCCGTAACACTTCAGGCCAAAGAGGCCTGTGATTGCCCTGCTCCCGTTGAAGTCCCGCTCCAGCTCAAGCCCCAGTTCTGCTGTCAGGTGAGAGGAGATCCCCTGCACTGTGCGGAGCCCCACAAGGGCTTGTAGACAATTTGGACAGTGCCATTTGTCACCAGGAGCCCCCCAGTGCCCACACCAGTGCCCGGCTCACCTGAGTTAGGTGTACTGGGATTCAAAGTGTTATTTGGGACTGGAACGAAAAAGGTGCAACTCTTGTCTTCCTCTGTTTCCGAAGCATGTCCTTCCTCCTCGTCCTCCTCCTCTTCTGCTAGCGAGCTCTCTGAAGGGTACTCAAACATGGTCTGCAAACTTGTCTCATTGAAAGAGATCTTCATCTAGACAAAACCAAAGGAGAAGTGTTAGAAAGCACAGGAGGAACCGCAGAACCGACGCGAGTGCTGCTGCCAAAGTCCGGGGGGGTTCGGTCCCTCTAGGACCTTGTGCCCTTGCCCACACCTCGCGTCATTCCCGGCATTGGGATACCCACAGCGAGCAGGAGGTGCCCGCGCGTCCCCCAGCTGCAGCCCGTGTTGCCGAGGAGGACAGGGCACCACGGCCAAGCTGGGCAGCTGCCATCTCTGACGCCTGCTATCTCATTCCTGTCCCCATGCGCTGGGCTATGAGAACACCCTCAACCTCAGCCACTGGACTACCTTTGTAGGACGATACCACGACATAAGCTAGTTAAACCGGATTAAAAACAGATTACTACCAGAGGTAAACAGGGAGGCTGCTAAAGGAGAGATGGCAGCAGGTAGCTTTAAAGATGGAAAATAAAACAACAGGGAGATCCTGAAGGTTCTGCTTTGAAGTCAGTTTTATTTCACCTTCTCACCAATGACCTTTGCAAAGTAAGTGGGAGCCTGAGAAAATGAAGATGCCTGCAGCATGGGGCTCGGTCAAGGGTCCAAGAAACGGAGTATTTTAGGGCTTATTCAGATAAACCGAAGAGCAGAACACTGGAAATGGGATAATGTTTGAGACCAAGAACTTGCCTGCACCTCCAGGACAAGCCTGTCTCCATCTTCTCGGATATCAAGCGGGGAGCTAAGGCAGCAAGGAGATAAACACACACGTCTGCAGGCTGGAGGACCAGCACCCGCAGCGGCTCCTCAATTTGCTCCAGCCCCAGACCACTTTGGTGGCATCACCTGAACTTGCTCCACTTTGTCGATGTCTTTGCTGTACCCAGCACCGTGGCCCACATGGGGTCTTACAGGTGCCAAGCAAAAGGAGAGGGAAAGGACCGTACCCTTGCAGCCTTACACATTTTACAATATTATCTTCACATCTAATCAGAAGATCCAGTTATCATGCATGTTTCTCCAGACGGTGACGAGGTTTGGCTGGTGTACACCAGCAAAATAAAGGTTGAAAAAAAGCATAATGGTGCTTTATGAGTGCATCAAGAAAACAAGCCCAAGGATCAGAGAAGAGCTGCTGATGCCAGCACGCAGCACAGCCAAACGAGGATAAGCTTGCCAAGAATAAACGTAAGCCAAAAAGAGGGAAGCATCTAGCCGACAGCGAGGAAGGTTCAGCAGCAGCAGCCTCAAAGGACTTGGTGATCTCTTTCCTTCTGTGTCTGTGGCTATAACTGAGCTAACCGAGTTGTGTCCAGGATCAACGGGATGAGGCTGCTGGAGCAGGCGGCACAAGGCTGCTCATTCGCAAGGGCTCTTCTACACTCACCTAGTTAAGCGCAGAGCAGCAAGTGCAGCCCAAGGCGAGCCGCCCTCGCGCCGGGCCCGCTGCAGGCTCTCAGGCAAGCACGTGTCCCCGTGCCACTGCTCCTTGCCCGAAAAGCCACACAGGACACTTGGTCCAAGGTGTCCTGGGGGACAAAGCGAGGACCTAGCAGCTCCTCTTCACTGCAGGTACCTGTCAGGAGCTACGTGCTGTTCCATGTGAGGCCAGGAGGAGCTTCTGACATAGGATGGCTCCTCTGCCCTTGGTACCAGGAGAAGGAGGGATGGAAACAGCAACGGGGGCAACCAGCTGCCCTTCCCCATCCGTTGCTCCAGGCTTGGGCAGGGCAGCTCTACCATCATCCCGATTACGTGCAGAAGGCAGCGATTTGGCTTTAGAGAAGAGCCCCAGATGATCCCGTGTGCCGTTTCCTGGGAAATTCTTACTGCTGTCCCTGACCTAGATGCTCCCTGGCCCGAGCCCGGCAGCAGAGCAGGCAGCGAGCTCTCACAGAGGCTGCCTGTGCTCCGGGCCGACTGTCCCTGCCAGGCGCAAGGGCCTCCAGCAGGAAGCGCCCGGGATCAGGAGCTCCAGAGCTGTCCCAGAACCCCAGCATGACATGCTCCAAAAGATGGGAAATGCCTGGCTAAAGTTGCTTCTGGATGTGGAAAATAAGGGAGACGGGGCAGACGTGCCCAGCTTCCAAGAATTTAACCTCGGGAGATAAACCTGAGTTTTCTCAGTCTTCTACCAGCAGGGAGAGACTCGGGTGACTTTGACTTTTTTTTCCTAAAGGAGAAGCGGGAAGCGGCAGCGGCGCCGGTCGCAGGTTAGGCAGCGCACACCAGGAGGCTGCAACTGCCCACACGGGAACAGGGCACGGTCCTGCGGGGAAGCAGGTCGGCATCGCGCTCCCTCTGGCTCTGCCTGCAGCATTTTCACTAAATAAATACAAACCAGACCTGCCAGGCCAGGCCAGACCCTAATTGGGAGGAAAGCTTCGGGCCGCACAAGAAGTGCAAACAGCCGCACCCAGGGCGGAAAGCTGAGAAGGGAGCAGAAAGTAACAGCAACCGCAGGCTGAGAGCCCCTACCCAGCGGCCGGGGAGAGCCCAGGCCAAGCCCGGGATTAAAGCAGCTCCCAACTGCCCATGGCCCACGCGGGTCAGACCACACTCGCGCCCAGCGCGCGGGAGCCGGGCTCAGCTCCCTCCATTTCCGACACGCAGACAGGAGCAGGGCCAAGCAATCATTAACCAGAGCGGCGCCTGCCCAGCACGGGGCTGCAACGGCGCAACATTCCTGCCTGGAAACCCCTGGGCAGAGCCAGGCAGGGCCTGGAGCTGCCGGGCGGGACACGCGGGTGCAATAAACCCCGGAGGCTGCGCCCCGGCAAAGCCAACGTGGAGCTGCGAGGGCTCCGTGGCTCCCGCCGCGAGGGCTCCGTGCCCCGGCGCACTCGCCAGGCAGCCCGTGCAGGAAGGGAGCCAGCGAAAAGCAGAGGCCGAGGCGGGAGCTCGCCGCGCCGGCCTCCCTGCTGCACCGCGAGGCCGGTCTGTAGAGGGACGGGAACGAACAAAGCAGCTCGGCTTGATCCGGGAGAAGACGGAGAGCAAAGCCTGGACAAAGCTAGAGGCAACACGGGGCAACGTAACCATCTTGAGGCATCCTCCAGGCAGTGCTGAGAGCCCCGGGGCCCTGCCTGGGGAACACAGGCAGATTTGGGCCCAAGAAGCAGGAAAAAAAACATCGAGAGCCCCGTGATGGCTCAGAAACCAGGTCGGAAGACAGGCAGCCTCGTGCCCGGCCACACCGACCTGCACCGGGGCACAAAAGGCAAGAGGGACCCTTTGCTCCAGGACAGAAGCGTGTTCCAAGGACCGAGCGCTCCAGTGCCGTGTCCCCGCTGCGACCGCTCCGCTCCTGCCCCGCGGGAGCTGCCAGCAGCGAAAGGGGAAGTTCTGCAGCCCTCAGCAGGGCCTGTGTGCAGGGCCCGGGCCCTGCCTGCGCAGCTGAGCGCTTTACCCAGAGCTGTGCCACGCAGCCGGAGCCCAGCCCCAAAACGGGCGCCCGCACATTAATCCTCTGCCCAGCAATCGGAGCCACGCTGGAAAGAATAAGGCAGGGCTTTGCGGGAATTGGGTTGAGCCACTTCATTCTTGTTGCCATAGCAGAAATCCTCCATTTATTTGCTATGATTTTAACAACAGACCACTCCGAAAAGAGCACCTAGGATAAAGTTGCCCTGCGAGCCCATGTCCAAACGGTTGCCCATACGTGACCAGGACAGCTGCAGTTCATACAGCTGAGACACGGCAGGAAATTCTTTTCAGTTCACACCCAGACCAACATGTGGAAAACCCCCATGTACAAAAACAGATTGGGAATGGAAACAACGGATAAACGTTGCTCCCTGCAGAGGGAAAGTTAGCAGACACCGGGTTTCAGAGAGCCAGGCCGGGAATGCCCATATGAGCCTGAAGCTAAAGAGAGGGGGCTCGTGCCCAAGCACACCCTCAGCCCCGAATTCGGCAGCACGTGTGACGACCAAACCACGGCGCCTGCACCACGGCTCCCCGCGCGCCTGCAGCCCCACGAGCATTTTCCTTACTGGGGCTTTTCTCTTCCCCACCCCACGCGCCAGACGCGGCAATGCCGGAGCGGCGCTGCCAGCGCAGGGCACTGGCACCTTGGCACCAGGGCTGCCTTTGGCAGCTCACATCACTCGAAGGGGAAAAGACCCTTTCCTTTAAGGGAGAGTTCTGTAGGGCCTGGAGCGGCAGGGAGAGCCTCTGCGCAGCCCGCGGAGGCACCAGAGGCCCCGTCCGAGCGGCCGCGTCCCTGGCACCAGCAGCAGGAGCAGCGACTGCTCCCTGGGCTGCATCTCCTTCACGGGGTTGTCGCTACCCTCGCACCAGCACATCCCGACCGTGTGAACGGGACCCTTAACACACCTGACCCCAGCACATCCTGACACGTTAACAGGACAATTAGCACCCAGTGGGGCCAGGGTGACGCGGCCGTTTCCGCCGTTTCCCGTGTCCCGGTTGAGCTGCCGGGTGTTTCGCAAGCTCCCAGGCTGGCCGAGGGCTGAGCAGTACCAGTGATTGCTTTTATCAGACACTCATTTCCTATAAACCTCTCCCCACGCACTCTAATCCTGATGTGACAGCACTAAGGGACTGCACTCCTCGGATCCGTGTGAGCTGCCGCTTTGCTGCTCGATGTGATTTAAAGCAGCTAGTTTAGCAGCTTCTCAGACCTGGTCAGCTAAACACCTCCTGCTTTCGCAACAGGATCAACAGGAGGGTTTTAGCTGATATCTGCAGGAAGCAGGGACAAAACCAAAAGAAATCATATCAGACATCGGAGAACAGTAGCGGCTGGGGGTGCCCAGAAAGCCTGGGGTTTGTAGCGTCCTGTGTCAGCTGGAAACGGCCTTGCAAGGAGGGCAGCAAAGTGCCCCGAGCGCCAAGCCCGCAGGGCTCGCCCCGAGGACGAGGGCTCGGAGGGTCCCCGCACAGCCAAATAACTGGCTAAGAGACCAGAAACAGCGGGTAGAAGCAGATGTTTTACCGAGGACAAAGATCCCAAAAGGAGTTACCCGGTGACCCAGGCTGGCAACGCCAATGCAGTCTGCAAAGTC